ACTAGTATTTTAAATACATTCTATATACATTTGAATCTATGGATAAAATAATTTTAAAACAGTTGACTGACTGAACAGAAACAAAGACAATCATATTTTTCTGATAAATTGAATGAAGAACCAAATAATAAATATAATAAGGAATAATTTTAGTTTAACAGGTCGGTGAAAATACTCGAAATCGGGTATTATCCGTGAAATCGCGTATAATACTCGATATTAGGGTAGCAACGGCGCATTATGCCAGTTACTGTTACGTGTACATCAGTGTCTTTTAATTTTTATTAAACCTATTTCAATTCGGTTGTCAAATAAGTTTAAAATCATACGACAAACACCGCTGGGATAACAAAGAGGACACAATGGCGTTATTATTTTTCAATTTAATTTCTAAAAACAAATAACTACACTTCATTTGTCTATATTTCCCATTAAAGTATTCCATATACTTAATTTTCTAATTTGTGCACTATTCACAAAATGTGAAACTTTAAAGAAATTAAACGACTTATGCCGTGTTATGTATTTTACTGGAAAATGTATGGCGTCCCTTTCACGTGAAATATAAATTATTCCTAACAGTTAGAGAGTACAGTAAAAGCGAGTCATAATTGTATATCTCTGTCATAATAGAATACCAACGTTATTATAAAGAAGAAAATAAAATAAGATTAAATAAATACCCACGGGAAAACAGGTTGAAAATAGCTAATTGAAGATGAGTATCTTTTTTATGTCAATTTAGCATGGAAAGTTTTATTCAAAGACACTGTAAATTTTTTGGTTGCATTTTAATCGATACAAGATATGCTAATTTACCTTTATTTCATGCATTTGTGTGAAAATTGAGAGCGTGAAGTCATATGAACAGGATTTTCTTATTTGGGGGGGGGGGGTTATTAAAAGTCAAATGTGTACATCTTTTCATGAGCTTATAATACATTGAAATTCTCAATATAGATCGAGGTACAGTCATTTTGAAATATGAATTACATAGTCAAGTTTTCACATTTCTAATAGTTTTTACGTTTATGACCATGTTAGTGAACAAACTGAAATAATGGAGTGTTCAATTGGAAACTATTGTCTTCCTTTTTAGGAATATAATTCCTCATCATTAAAATTTCATAAAAATTGAAGCCACGTCCTTTCTTTTTTACACAGGGTAAAAAAGAATAGACAGAATAAATTTTACCTCTTTACCTTCTATATTTTTATTATATCGCTATCTTATACCTCATTGTAATATGCTAATACAACGCACTATCTGATTGGTTCTAGACAATATGTCACAATTTTCTTTTAGTTATTTTATCTATGCTACTTATTACTCATGGCAATAACTTTCGTAATACTCATCTAAAATGAAAAAAATGTGTTTAAAAAAATAAACATGAATTCTAGTTACTTGTAGTCTCATATTGTGTTAGAAAATAAGAGGTTTCTTTTTGTTTACCTATATGATTTTTATTCTTCCCTTCAATTAAAAATATATTATTTTATAACCGAGTTTAACCGACCGTGACATTCAAAGAGAGATCTCTTGGACACATGTAGAACATAGTCGAAGTTGTTTTGTCAGAGGTGGTCAATAAGCCTTTACCCCCCCCCCCCCCCCCCCCCCCGCTTTGAAGTCACTAAGAAATGGTAAAATATTGATGACTAAGCGAAATTAAACGATCAACTATTATGTTCTAATAAGCTGTATTCCTGAAACTATCACTGTCTCTGCTAAAATGTTGAATACATATTATGCAAATATGTATGAATGATAAAAAAAATATTTTAATAAAAAAGAGAAAGGGGGTTTTTAGCCAAAATCTTAGACATTTTTATCATTACATTATTTATACATTCATAAATAAATTTGATTTTATGCACAAGATAAATGTGAAAGTAATTAATGACGCTTAATTAGATACGATATACAATCCCTTGTTTATACATGGCATCATATCTTGTGTATGAAATGTGTATCCGTATAATTTGATTTATTTACAAATTGTTCATGTTTGTCGTGTTGATGTGGAATTATTATAAACTCCCAAATTCTGATACTTTACAATTCTGTTGTGTTGGGAATGACCATTAGGAAGATGCTTATACTTTCAACATTATGAAAAATACAAAGCAAATCGAACGCCTTTTTGTGTGCATATCATGAAATGTACTGACCTCCACGGGTATTTGTTATCCTGAGCGCATTAATCTTGACGCCCAAAATCTTACTTGGCTAGTGATACCTTTAGAAAACATTTGTATCTAGATAAAAATTAACTTGGCAACCATTGCATTGTTTAAGTTTTATCAGGTAATTACACCTCCTATACCCGATATACCCTATAACGATACCCTAATATCGAGTATAATACGCGATTTCACGGAAAATACCCGATTTCGAGTATTCTCTCCTGATTGAAAATATTGCAAAATGTTTACAGTTATAAATCTAAAGACAACTGCCACCTATAAGACATGTAAAAAAATATATCAAGTGTATTTTTGACCATATTACAACAAAATAGCCAAATTTAACATTACAATTATAGTATTTTCTTCTTTATATAATTCTGGTCGGGATCGGTTTAATTGGGAACAATTGTAAAACATAGGTAAATTTGACTCCTTTTATTTCTCTCAATATACCAGTGCCCACTGATTTTATTGAGTGACTCAAAAGTTTGTACTTTGTATTCATAAACAAGCAAATTCAAAGAATTGTGGTCCCCCGCTTTCGGTGTCTTTGTTGGTGAGATGTTATTTTTTATGACATATTGTGTCTAATATGAACATCCTATCATATGTCATTTGTTAGAAATTATCATTGAAGTTGATTGTTTTGAAGGATGTAAACCCTAATCCTGACCGTTAAAAAGTTATGGCCAAAGTTAACGTTTTTTAAATGTAGGTCAACTCCAAGGTTAAGATCAAAGGGTCAAAGTTGTTGATGAAAGGTTTTCTCACAAGGATTACATATGTGAAGTATGAAAGCCCTAGCACTTACCGTTAAAAAATTGTGGTCAAGGTTAAAGTTTTTTTCATAAGTACGTAAATCTTTATGGTCAAGGTCAAAAGGTCAAAGTTGTTGATATCCAATGAAAGGACTTGCCACAAAGAATACATATGTGAAATATAAAATTCCTAGTAACTACAGTTCAAAAGTTGTGACCAAAGTTAAATTTTTTTTAAAGTAGTTAAAACTCCAATGTCAAGGTCAAAGGGTAAAAGTTGTTGGTATCCAATGAAAGGTCTTCTCAAAAGGATTACATATGTGAAGTACGAAAGCCCTAGCTCTCACTGTTAAAAGTTATGATCTAGGTTAAAGTTTTTTCATAAGTATGTAAATCTCCAAGGTCAAGGTCAAAAGGTCAAGATTGTTGGTATCCAATGAAATGTCTTGCAACAAAGAATACATATGTGAAATATAAAAGTCCTAGTATCTACCGTTTAAAAGGTCTACCGTTTAAAAGTTGTGATCAATGTTAAAGTTTTTTTAAAAAGTAGTTAAAACTCCAAGGTCAAGGTCAAAGGGTAAAAGTTCTGGGTATCCAATGAAAGTTCTTCTCACAAGGATTACATATGTGAAGTACAAAAGCCTTAGTCCTGACTATTTTAAAAGTTATGGTCAAGGTTAATGTTTTTTCATAAGTATGTAAATCTCCAAGGTCAAGGTCAAAAGGTCAGGGTTGTTGGTATTCGATGAAAGGTCTTGTCACAAACAATAAATTTGTGAAATATGAAAGTCCTAGTACCTTCCATTCAAAAGTTATGGCCAAAGTAAAAGTTTGGAATTTTTGTGTAAAAGTGGGTCAAACTCCAAGGTCAAGGTCAAAAGGTCAAATTTGGTGGTACCCAAAGAAAGGCCTTGTCACAAGGAATACACATGTGAAAGTCATAGCTCTACTAAATCAGAAGTTATGGGCAAGGTTAAAGTTTTTGTGACTGACAGACGGACAGACTGACAGACTTACGGACAAACGAATGAGATTTAATGTCCCCTCGCTTTCGCGAAAGCGGGGGACAAAAAAGTAAGAAAAAAAATCTGTCATTGTAATGCATTGGGTTTTATAATGTAATAAAAATTGGAAAATGAATTCGAAAAGTTACTTGGTAAACTCAATTTTGGACCACATAATTTTTCTAAAGATTGATTGATTGATTGATTGATTGTATACTGTTTAACGTCCCTCTCCAGAATATTTCACTGATATGGAGACGTCACCATTGCCGGTGAAGGGCTGCAAATTTAGGCCTTTGCTCGGCACTCAGGGCCTTTGAGCAGGGAGGGATCTTTATCGTGCCACACCTGCTGTGACACGGGGCCTCGGTTTATACGGTCTCATCCGAAGGAACGCCCCATTTAGTCGCCTTTTACGACAAGCAAGGGGGTACTGAGGACCTATCCTAACCCGGATCCCCACGGGGTATTTTTCTAAAGAAATATAAATTTGAGTCTTATTCATTAATAAAATTAAAGATAAGAGTCTATGGTATAAATAATATTGATACACACAACCAGGTTCTGTGTATCTGGTACATTTAAAACAAATTAAAAACGTAGTAATTTTTTTTAACCCCAATGTTGACCTTTTTGCACTTAAAATTGAGCACTTACCCCCCCCCCCCCCCCCCCCCCAAAAAAAAAAGCTAGTGGAACACTAATTTTTTTTTTGATGTTGTCATGTGTAGACACTTGCTTTTATAAGTCTACATGCAAAAAATAATAAAAATCCATGACATGCGATGTGCCATTCATTGCCTGGTTTTTTAGTGGACGGTATTTTAAATTGTCAAATTGATCTCAACAACATAATATATTGATAAAAAAATATTCAATTTTTGTTTTTTATTTTCAATATTCTATATTTTAGTACAAAATATTTGTCATTTTAATTAATTTCATAGTTTACATGTATTTTATTTCCCTCTTGTTAACATCTTTGGTCAAGATGTACCCAGGATCGAATTAAGAGCCAAATAATGTGTATTTTCTTTTCCAGATTCTGTTATTTAATCATTCAGTAATTCGTTGAAATGGATTGCATTCCTCGACTCTCATCAACGGCCTATGTGGGACTGTGTCGTGAACTAGGGAGTCCCACAGAGGTGCGGATCAGGAGAGAAGTGATGGACACTGAGGAGGCCGCGATGAAATCTTTGTTTATCATGATTGGATGTGACAAAATGAAGAGTGGGAGTAAACGTGAAGGATTTAGATTGAGTTTTTCAGATTACGATTTCATGTTATGGCCTCCAGACCACAAGGTAATCTGTGATCTCTCTCAGATCTGTCTTTACCGTATCCCACAACACACTGTGATTCTGATGGAGTGTGATGATCTACCACCGGGATTTACCAGACTTAATCTGCTGAGTCCCTCAAAAAATCCAAATATCAGATCATCCTGTGTATTTCGGAATGACGAAGTTAATATTTCAAGTGCATTATTCCGCTCTAGCCAATTGCAATATTTTAAGTCATGGTTTTTCCCATATGCCTTACATCATGGACCTTGTTCAACATGTGTTCTTGAAGATAATGAAGCAGACTTTGCATTTTGTTTCCAATCAAAACACTGGCCAATAAAAGCTTTACCAATGATACAGAGATGTCGTCAACAAGGTTGGCCATCCGAGACTGTTCTAATGGAAATAATAAGTGGGGGATTCCATGTTGTTCCTATAGGTAGCACACTTGAAAATGGAGAAGAATGGAGAATCTCATTCTCACAAGCTGAACAAAAACTTGTGTATTCAATGGATCACTGTCAGTTTTTGTGTTATGGTCTCTTCAAAATTTTTCTTAAAGAAGTAATTAATTTTCAAAATAATACGACTATTATATGTTCATATTACATAAAAACATGTATATTTTGGGTAATTCAGAATGAGCCTTCCTTGACTTGGACACCTGTTAACTTATTATCTTGCTTCTGGAAATGCTTTAAATTATTGTTATACTGGGTACGAGTCGGAGAATGTCCAAACTTTTTTATTCCGGAAAACAACATGTTTAGAGTGAAAGTTACTGGTTCTGTACAAGATGCATTATTCCGTCAGTTGTACGATTTGTATTGTAAGGGTATATCATGTTTACTATTGAGTGAAACAATCAGACCCTACCTCAGTCAGGCTATAGTAAACAGAAAATTAATAATATGTACAGAAGAGAACAGTTTAATATCTAGCACTGAGTTAGATTTTAGCTTTTTTAAAGAAGTAAAGGGACTAATTCATAAAAGTATTGATTCCATTGAGGAATTCAAAGTTTACATGAAATATATAAAAAAAATTATTACTGAAAATTTGACACCATATCAGACAGCTACATTGCAGTTAAGTACATCGGCTGTGTTACGGAGCATCGCCCTTTTGATTCAAAATAAAAACCACATACTAAAAAACTGCAATAAAATTCAATACAAATCTACTAAAGTATCCAATATATTGCTTCAATTATCATGCAAGTTTGGCTATGTGTCAGATTTTCTGTACCTTGCTGCGTACTTGTACAGAGATTGTAGGTTCGAACATTCACTTAATTGTTTAAGGAAAGCACAGGAGAGAATGTCACCACCATATTGTATGCGTGGTGGTAATATGAATGTATATATGTACATACAGTGCATGACTGGGATACCTCTGAGTAGAAAAATAAGGAGAGCTGTTATGGACAATATTAAGTTACAGAGTGATTACACTTATATTAATGAATTAGTGCTAGAGCAGAAGATCAGTAGGAAACATGGCATGCCGTCACTGGATATCCAACCTCCAGTGATGTTATACATGCTGTTTACACTGAATCACCACAGACTTGGTGACACAGTCAGGTCAAAAAAATCTCTACAGGATCTACAAAATTTGATGCTATATGCTGAAGGTTTTAATGTACCAAACTATCTCAGAGATATTTCGTGGCAAATCATGGGGATCTGTCAACAAAATTGTGGGGACTATTCAGGATCTTTTAGGTCGTATCAATATTCGTTTCAACAAGAACCATTTCATTTCATTCAGGAAGCGACATTGCTGAGAATGAACGCACTTCCTCATGGAGGGTTGTAAATTTTTCTACATATCAGTGTGTTTACCCATACTTAGTTTTTAATGTTCTGACACACTCTAGTTTTCCAAGTAAAAAATTAATTTGTATTTTTTTTGGTGTCTTCAGTTTGTCATATTTTTCTGTTTCCATGCTACCGAACACGTTTTATTGACTTCATTGTATGTGTTATGTTATTTCACGTAAGCATACTGATTTTGTTCCCGATTGAAAGCAATTGGTGATCATCTGATGATTAAGCCTTAGAAAAGGGTAAAAAGATCATCTTTATTACTCAGTACCTGACAATCAGACAATTTTGAGATCAGATTAATTTTGTTAGGTTACGTAATATATAATTGAATACTTACATATTCATTCTTTATTCATTATTACGAGAGTTGAATTCGATAGTAATATGATATTTGATTTGAGGTGTAATGTTCGGCATCAAATTGAGATAGTTTAAGGAGAGGGGTACAGTAGGCTGTACCTGCTGTCCAATTCATTTATTCATATTTATTGGTAAGTAAGAGATATTACGTTTTATTATTTGAAAGATGTCATCGAAAATATGTTAAATGATGACCGATTTATGAAACAATGAATAAATTAATAAATCTGTGATTTTTTTCACGCCAGATTTAATTATACATTCTGAAATTTCATAAAACAGTTTTCTATATATTGCATATACATTGGATGTTCAATGATTTGTAGTTTGATATGACTTTATATCCAATGAGTTATTTCGTTCTTATTTTTATACAAGTTTGATAGAATTTTTATCCGATTGCATATCATGGGGAATTCCTTTTATTCCATGTTTCATATACATGACCATCATTGTTAAAAACTATTTTAAAAAATGTCTAAAAAGGTTAAATGTAAAGTAAGTCTCTCTGTAAACCATAGAATTTACTCCCGGTCAAAGTGTTAGAATTTATTTATGCGGGTATCAATTAAGTTAGATCGAGGGTTTGCTATCGTCACAAAAGGATTCGACGTCGAAAACGTACCGCGTTTACAGTATCAAACTACAAACAAGCAAAAGATATCTTACGCAGTATGCAGTATGAAATGAAACATACATTACAGCTTGTTTGGTCTGTAAACATATTTATTTATATGTAATAACTAAGAAAGGATTTATCAATAATTAAATTAAGAGTTTTCTTTATATATTAGAACATGCATGGCTCAAATAAATTTTTGGAAATATTTGGAAGTTGTAAACCTTCTGTGATGGTCAAAATTCGGTCCTTCTGACACAATCCTTATCAATCTATATTATATTTTTCACTTCAAATTTCATTTTTTTGAAAAGTAAAAAAAATTAAAAACTACGCTGTGAAAATTATTCATTTTTCTCATTTTAACATGAACGAAGTTGTTATTTTCAAATTTTTTTAACAAACGTTTGTTTGTATCATCTGTCATTCATTTATTTAGGATATATTGTACAGATAAATGACTTCCATTTCGAATGCCTGGCATATGGGGATACAACAATCAAAAGGCTTTTTACTGAGAACGAAAATTGTTCCAATATCTCCGAGACACGGAGCAGGTCTCTATCAGTAGACTACATGCACAAGTGATTTTTTTGAATGTTTAAAACAAATTCAACAAGAAAGAACACCAATGGCATAAAAAAAATATTTGACTTTTATTACTTGTATTACGTGAACAACAGATGTTCTTGTAGAAATCCTGCATTTATATTGAGATACAAAAACCTAACATTTTGATGATATAAATTTAGATACTGAGATGTATTTTCTTCCTTTTTCTGTCACTAGAAGACTAGAGGATCTCACTACCAGTACCCCCTGGTACATCTGTATTTACTAGTTATTAAAATAGAATCCTGATTTCCGGATTAATGTTAAAATGTTTTAGTGTGTATTCTAGTTATATTACACGGAATACAACAGTAGTGGATTAATTTACAAGGAAAATTGAAAAAGAAATGTTTTTTCATGGTAGAAATGTTTGAAATGTTTTACTTTGAAAAAAAATAAAATGCTTGACACATTTGATTGAAAAAATTAAGAATAAATTGATTTAAATAAGAATAAAAAAAATAGTGTACATTAAAAGTATTTGTTATTTGAACAACTTAATGCGCGATAAACTATCGAAGCTACTATTATTTCTACTAAATGTAAAAAAAGCTAGGTTAATGATGTCGTAAGGCTTGATTGGTTGCATCAGAACAAAAAAGACTTATTCTAAGCGAGTTTCAGTTTCTATTTGAAAACTAACCATGTAATTACAGTCAATTCGTGAGGAAAATTTGATTAGGTATTAAAAAAACAAAAACAAAACAGATCTAAAAATAACCTTAACCTATTTTAAATTTCGCTTATTTAATCTGCCATTTTGGTTTGTAAGATAATTCGGTCTAACGCGCTTCGTACAAATGTCAACTCTTAGAGTTCTTACAAATGTAATAGAGGAGTTACAAATTATATTTTATCTAGATTTTTTGCAATTTATTTATATGAAAAGCTAAGAATTTAGAAAAATTAATCCAGAACCGAGCGCACTTTTTTGTGCGCAATAAATATACATTTTTTTTCAAAGGATTGCACTGTAGCTCTCCGGTCTGTCAACAGCTCGAAACATTTAGGATATATTGGACAGATTAATGACTTCCATTCCGAATGCCTGGTATATGTGGATACAACAATCAAGAGAATTTGACCGAAAACAAGAATTGTTCCAATATCTCCGAGACACGGTGCAGGTCTCTATCAGTAGACTACATGCACAAGTAAATTTTTGAATGTTTAAAAAAAATTCAACAAGGAAGAACATTAAAAGCATTAAGAAATATGTTTTTAATGTTGCTAGTATTAGGTGAACAACATAAGTTTGTGTAGATGATATATATATTTAGATACTGAGTTGTATTTTCTTCCTTAGAAATGTCTAACCCTCGGCCTGTCACCAGAAGACTAGAGGAATTCTCTACCAGTAACCCCTGGTACTTCTGTTTTATCAGTTATAAAAATAAAATCCTGACTTCCTGATTAATGTTAAGATGTTTTAGTATGTATTCTGATAATATTCCTTGGAAAACAACAGAAGTGGATTTATTTACAAGGAGAATTAAAAAAAAAGTTTTTCTTGGTAAAAATATTTGACATCTTTTTTCTTTGAAAATAATCAAATGCTTGAAACATTTGTTTTAAAAACTGAATTATAAATTGGTAAGAAAATTAAAAAAAAGTGAACATAAAGAGAACAGGACATTTGACCAACTTAGAGCGCAATAATTTATCGTAGCAATTTTTATTTCTACTAAATGCAGAAAAAAAGTTAATGTTGTCTAATTTAAGGTTTGATTGATTGCATCAGAACAAATTTGAATTATTCTAAGTTAGTTAAAGTTTCTAGTTGAAAACTAAGCATATCATTACATTAAATTCGCGAGAAGTGGTTAATCAGGTATCTTAATAACAGATCTTAACAAGGTATCTTAATAACAGATCTTAACATAACCTTTATCTATTGTAAATGTTTATTGATAGCCTAGTAGCTTCCCCACCCCATACACACTGTTTGTTGTAACATCGGACTTCAGTAATGCATACATAATTTAGGTTTCAAAAGGAGTAGTATTTTCCGAATACTTTTTTTTTTTGTTTGTGAATGTGTTTGCAGGAAAGTTGTCAATTCTTTTTATGGAGATACGCAACTTACCAGGTTGGTATGAAAATAATCAATTGACATGATTTCTTGAGGATTCTAATGAAAATCTATAAAAATACTAGACATATGTTCTAGATGTTTCCTTCATCAAATATTGTTTTAGAAGAAGTGTTAAACACCATATACAGACATAAAAAAATTGCACACAATTTTGTTGAGAATTGGAACTTTTCAACTCCATGGAAAAAAGACAAAAAAAAAATCACATTACAATGCATATGTCCTGAAGGTTGCCTCCCACCTTTCTTTCAAAAATGACAATGATTGACTGAATAAAGGCACGATAAATACAAATGAATGTGAATCACGTGTTTGACAGATCAATTTCTGTACAAGTAATTAACAAAAGTAATGAAAGTCTTTTTTGTTGCATAAATCAATTCATCGTATCTTACTCTAAATGAAAATTGATTGTTGCAACAGGGATATTACTGAAGTAGCAACAAATAAATGATACCTGGAACTAGCTGCAGAATTGTAGCGTTATGGTTCTATATATTTAGTATTTGACCATACTGCTACAGATCCAGTAATGCAAAAAATATGCAATTTACGGCGCAAGAATATTTGCGAAAATTTTTTGAGAATTTTCCACTTTCCGACATTGGTAAATCGTCTATTTTTCCCTGCATAATTCGAAGCACATTTTCAAATAAATCAGTAATCTGTATATTTTATATACTTAACAAACCCTATATAGTCGTCTCTACAAGCTATACACTTGCTTGAATTAGGATTTTCTGCAATCCCTCAGACAATTCAAATCAGGCCAGTGTATCGCCTGTAGACTACTAAGGGTTGGGAGGAGGATACAATAAACAAAGTGTTAAGTTTAAGAATATACAGTATCTGGAATAAGGGGGTGAAAGGTATAGATGATTTACCCAAGTTGAAAAAAGTAGAAATTCACCCAGACAGTGTGCAAATAATCTTTCACCGTTAATTGCACATTTTTGGCATTATAATGAGAGTTAATCTAAAGTGATATTACTTTTAATTCGTGTATAAATAAGTTAACAAAATAGATGATATTAGACACTAAAAAAAACTAAAAAGGTTTGTATGATGTAAATGTAGAATGAACAATGAAATGTGCTTTTAATTACATTGAAAAGTTGTAGAAGATTTGCCTCTGCTTGTTTTCATAAATTTCTTTGTTTTTTAAAAAGTTTTAAATATGATAAATTTAATTAAATATGTACATTTTTTTGTATAATTTTGCTTCTCATACATGAATAGCAAGGTGATAAATCTTCTTCAATATAATTCCTCGCACAAATGACATCAGATTCAAACTAAGAAT